AAGTTTATATATATATATATATAATATTAAGTTTAGGAAATCTACTAGGACATTGTGCAACTGTCGTATTGCGATAGAATTGAGGTGGAGCCAGATAGAAAGAAGTGATCCCTGCATCTGTTAGGCACAGAAGAAGTGATCCTTGTACCTGCTGGCCACAGAGGCAATTCAGTTCTTGGATTAAAAATAAAAACAGCATTGCGTGTGCCTATTTTCTGTTAGGTGCATGCAATGCTGTTTTTATTTTTGACCTTGAGCCTAAATTCCATTAGGCGCACTCATTTGCCACAGAGAGCACAGACATACATTATCACTTTGAGTCCACTGTATATCGAAAACAAAGTCATTGACTCATATTTTTATACGTTTAAATGGACCTTTATTACATTTTTGGATTCCTCATTGCAATTAATAGAAAATGGCAAAGTTTATCAAAATTAGCCAATTAAATTTTGAGAACAAACTTAATTCTATGTTTTTAACCATAGAAGATATGCTAGCAACCATGGAACATTACATGACATTGTTTTGTCGCATGTGCTTGTGCTATGACCTTATATCTCAAAAATGAAGTCATGGGACTCCATTTTTTTTAATTACATTTTTGTATTCTCGCTGTAGTTAATGGAAAATAGCAAAATTTAATCAAACTCAAACAGATTTTGATAATGAACACAATTCTGTAAGCCCCATAGAAGAGGCTTTGCTAATACTCTGTCTCAATTAAAAGATAAATTTAATAAATATATACTTTTGTACATGGATTATACAGAATTTGTTAATGAATAATAAATAAATAATTGATTTTTTTCAAATCCACATAGACTTATGGTTGTAAATTAATAATAGAATAAACTACTTTGATTTAATAAAACATTTTGTATTTAATTTTAATAATTAGGCAATTATAAAAAAATATATAACTTAATTAGAAAAAATAACTAACTAAAAAGCAAAACTATTGATATATGTGCATAATAAGTCAAATGCTTTTATTTTGTCAATGTGCCATATTGTAAGAGACGTGATGGTCAGGGAGTTTGTATAAAGTTAGTCAGGGAAGGTCATGGAATTTAAAACAAAAATTTGAGTCGGAACCCTGTACTAATTAATATTTTTAGTAGAAGTGAAAAAAATCTTAGCATTTTTTGTTGGATTCTTTTTTTCCTTTAATTTTTTTTAGTTATGATTTGTACATACTACAGTACCTACAATTCAATATAAAAACAAAAATTACTTAAACCCTACATCATTTTTTAAAAAATTATAATTTTTATCCTATTAACTATAGAGGAATTACTCAATATCTGAGATGAGTGAAAGTTTTCCATTTTAATAACATTTGAATATTATATAATCAATGCTATTATACACTTTGATGATTTAGAAATACAGTATATATTTTGCTAAGAATCTATAACTAAGGTTTTAAGATTCCTAAAAGTATTGAAGTAATTTCTTTGTTGAAAATTAATTAACTGAAATTATTTATTTAGTTAGTTTACTTGTATATTCATAAGTAAATATAGCATACTTTTATGCATTACAAAAAAAAATAAATTTAAATGTTTTATGGAATAAAATAATTTTTCATTTACACTGAAAAAAGTTTTTTATTTTCTGGTTACTATGAACTACTACTTTGAGATGATATTTTAACTTGAATTAGCATTTCTATCCTCAGATCAGAGTATATCATAAGCATTACTATTCTCTCTTCTCTTTCTCTCTCTCTCTTATTTGGTCTTTCAATTGAAAGTTAAATTTTAATTCTAGTTAAGTTGATAATATGATTTTATTATTAGTATTGTTTGCATTTGGAAAGACAGTAAAAACATCTATGAATTCCTTCTCTAGGGATATAATTGTAGTTATACTTAGGTGAGGTATTTTCAGTAAAAGTTATCCCTAATCATAGTAAAAACTTGTGAATCTATAAAATTAAAAAAAGATTTTAAAAAAATGCTTTAATGAAATAAGTGTGTACTGTTACAATAAATGAATACTTTCAAGCTCCTTCATTCATCTTTAGGAAAATGTTAAAAAAGAATTCTGATGTTATAGAAACCATACTTAGAAGAAACAAAATAAACAAAAATACAAATATTTAACACAAATTAATGTTGTAAATTGTAAGATTAAAATTATGAAATATTGAGAAATATCTTTAATATACTAATTTCTAATTGTTTTATTATTTTAATTTTATGATTCATATGTAAGGCTGAATCAGCTATTATGCAAAATGCCTGCATAAAGCCTAAAACAGACTGACTTTTTTTCTTTGTTTTTAATATAACTAAAATAATTAATTTCCTTTAGGATTGCCAACTATTCAGAACTTTCCAAACTGAAATAGAATTTGTTTATTTAAACACTGTTCAGAAATGTTCTGAAAAATGAATGAAATGTGTATGGGGGTTGTCCTATAAACACTAAGAGGGCTTGCTTTAATCATACCCATCTTGAACCCAAGATGGGTATGATTAAATGATGGTCTGGTTCCAAAAAAATTTAATATTAAATAAACCTGGAATCCTTCAAGTACACTAACATTCATTTTTTCATTTGTTCATAAATAATATTGTAGCTATTGTTCAAATTTTGAATATTTCTGTAAAGCCACAATACATTGTGATCATTTTTCCTCTCAAGCATTTTTAATTATTGAGTCTAACATATACATTGTTAAAAAAGTATATTTTTCTCATTTGATTGAAGTGATTGAATTGGGAAAGATTACAAAAGATTGAAGATACATCTTATAAGAAAGCAGTTTATTAGATAATTACATATTTACAGAATATTCCAAGTAGTTCAATTATTTCTTGTAAGAAGGAAAACATATGATATAAAATATTTTCTGTATATAATTTAATATAAACAAATTAGAAATAAACTTTTAATTGTATGTAATTAAGGAAAAAAGAAATTGAACCAAATTTATTTTGTGCCAATATATTTTAATTAATCAGAAGGACAAAATTCTTTAATGAAACATTGTCTTTCATAAGCAGAGCTCATAGCAATTTGTGTGTAGCTAACAGAAATATTTAAAAATTTTATTTTTTTAATACATGTTAGTCGTAACTTCTAAATTATATAATTTCTTTGTTCATACATGTTTATTTTCAATTACTTTGAAAAAAACCTCTTAGTTCTAAGGTAGATAATATAATATATGAAACTTGCACTGTATTTTTTCAAAATGAATTTTCAAATGAAAAGAAAAAATATTATTAAGTGGATATGCATTATTGACAGGTTTTTCAATTTACCATTTTATCATGACTAAAGTGGTGTGTTAATGAAATAGTCTGTTAAAAAAATTCAAATTTAAATAATATACAGTAGAGCATCGATTATCCGACTCAATTGGGGACTGGGGTTGGTCGGATAACCGAAAAGTATGAAAAAATCCATTATTAGTGTAGTATATTATTATATCCCATGTAATTAGTATATTAGTATATCGCTATTAACCTACTTCGCATTGAATTTTCATCGATGTTAAGCCTAACAAAAAATTTTTAAAATAATAATCGTTGCTATTGTATTGTTAAAAATTAGAAAATTAAACCTGATTTAAATACTGGCTTCCTTTATGGTCGAGCCAATGTTGCCAGCTAAAACACGTAAAAATAATATTAAAGTAGCCAAGACATAGCCAAATATTGTAGCGCCACATCACTAGCGGACATTTGAATTTGCCGACTAGAACGCGGTCGGTTAACCAAGGTGATGGTTAATTGGGCATAGGATAATCAATGCTCTACTGTGTGTATATATATATATATATGAATTTGGTAAGCGGTAAGCCTTAAATACTGTCCAGCTTCATTGGCTGATAATATAAACATGATTCAGGTATCAAATTAAAGCTCTTATCCTGTAGATGGTGCCTCTGAAGAGATATTTGAGAAATGTGCAGTGGTTTGGTTGTGACAGAGTGGCAAACAGACAATGTTAAGTCTGTGGGGTCAAACATGTCAGATATTCATGCTTCATCTAGCAATTACCATATTTACTTGCATATAAGACAAGATTTTTATTCATTTTTCACTGCTTCAAAAACTTAGGTCATCCTATTTGCATAAATGAAGAATTCTTTGCATTTTCACAATAATTTTTGTAAACTGCATATTTGCACTTTTAACCAGATGCTCACCCTCTAGTATTTAAGAACAAAACTATCTTATCTGGGTCATTTGAATCATTTTTGTGTACTAACAGGAGTAAATATGATTAGCAATAGGAAAAGCAAAGCTTTTGAATTGAATTCCAAATTGAAATTCTAAAATCATACGGGACCTCGATATAAGATTTAATCCATTCCCATGTGAAAAAATGATTATTCAGAAATCAGAATTCGGAGAAACTCTTAAGTGTAATCGACAGAGAGTGGATTAGACTGTTAAGAATTAGCAAAAAAGGTTCCTAATTGTACAGCTTTACATGAACAAATTATGTCAATTTTACCAGATTTTTTCTTAAAGTTTAAAATGACAGTAATTTTTGCAGAACAATGTGTACATTTAGGGGCATTTGATCTTTTATTTGTGATTAAATGAAATAAATTTAGAATTGTATTAATAAATCTAATTTTCTTTATTTTGATCTTTAAAATCACACCTGGTCCTATATGCGAGATTGTCTTATACGTGAGTAAATATGGTAATTTTTTTTACCCATTGTACTATCTCTTATTCTGAATTCCTGGTTTTTATGGATTTCTGCTAGTTATTATGTGATTCTCATATATAAAAGATTTCTTTCCATTCAAAGCTATGTATTGTATTCAGATTTTACTTGAAATATTCATAACTATTGATATTCTAAAATATTTCTTTGTTGCATATAAATGAGACTTTGTATATGTAAATTTTTAAAAAAATAATAATAATATAAATAAAAAGATTAATATTTATATAATGATTTATGCACAGTAACTGCTATTAACAAAAATCTAAGTACATGTTTGTTGTTTTTATTTTTTTGCAGATTTTGATTTATTTTCACTTCTCCAATCTACAGAAACAGATAGAGAGGTAATATTATCTCTAATTTTATTAGATAACTACAATAATGATAGTAATAATTTTACTGAGTCATACAAAGATCTTGATTATCCAAAATCTTTCTCTATTGTATTTCTCAACATTTTATTAAGATCATTAAAATATTCTTATGTTCTCATCAGTTTTATAATTGGTGCTTGTAAAGAAATAAAAAATAAAATAAGTAATCATGCTTTCATTTTCATATATATTATATAATATTTTCAATGTAATTTTTGTAATATAATTTTATTTTCGTAAAATAAGCATATAATAAAATTATTTATTTAATTAAAAAATGTGCTTTTTCAGATAATCAAGATCCTAGATTTATTGCATAAAAAATGGTATTATTAATTGAAAATTGAAATAAATTTAAGATTTTTTTATAAGTATGTTTGTTGCATAGTTTACTGTTGCTATCAAAATTTTTAATTAAATAAAAAAAATCTCTTTTTTTCTGTAATAGATTAAAATTCATGCACATTTTTAATGTAAATTAATACAAAACATTCATTAATTGTTTAATTAATCACATTTGCATCATTGTTTTGTGGATTTTACCTGTTAGTTCTTCAACAAAAGGAAACAAACATTTTCTGTTTTAAAATCATCTTAATTTTATTCCAATAGCTTTTCATCATAACTTTGAATATTTGTTAAGTCTTCTATTATCACTTATTATTTCTTTTAAATTCCATGTTATTTAAAATCTACAGTTATTTTTTTATTTTAAATGTTTTTTGTTCATCTTATGCTCTATTTCCTGATTTTTTTTTCTCTATTTGTATTCAATTGGTAAATTGTTTAGAAAAATTTAATAGTAAAATTGTAACTTATAAATTTCTCCATCCCTGTCATTAATCATTTTACAAATAGAATGTAATCTTGTTTATCATTTAAAAATGCATATTTTATAAATATATTATATGAAGAAAATGAGTAAAATTAAATATAAATATAAATGTTATTGCCAGCAGCATAACTTCTAAAAATTATTTGGAAAAAATCAAAAGCAGAAAATTTATTCTATATTTTGTTTGTGGTATGTCATGTACAAGGTATACGTTATTGCAGATTTACACACAAAAATATGGTACTCTACATGTAAAATCTAATTCATATTAATTATATTATCCAATCCATATTATAACATATTTATTTAATATGTAAATTCAAGTTCTATTTAAGCTAATCTTTTCAGGTGATTCCAAATTAATCATTTAAATTATAAATTTATTTAATTGTTAAAATTTCTTCTTGAATGCTACATTATAAACAACTTTTAATCTACAAAATCAAACTATTTTGAAAGTATTGAAATTAATAAATCTGATCTTTTCTTATCTGCATACCACACAGGATAATGATGAAATAAGACTGCATCCAATAACTTGTGCAAAGTACAGCTAAGCAATAAATAACAAATGTTTTCATAACTCCTTCTGGGTTCTTCCTTGGGTTTTCTTCATTCTAAATAAGCTGGATCTTCCAAAATCATTCAGGAATATAAAATCGAACAGTAAAATGAAGAGTTCAGATAACGGGAATTTATGCACAAGTGCTCCCCTTGTCATCTTTAAAGAAAATTGAACATTACTATCAATTTTATATTCTTGGATGATTTTGGAAGATCCAGCTTATTTAGAATTAAGAAAACCTGAGGAAGAACCCAGAAGGGGTTATGAAAATGTTTGTTATTTATTGTTTAGCTGTACTGGTTATTGGCTGTAGAGAGTCTTATTTTACTGATCTTTTTTTNCAAAAACTTGTAAATTGATAAATTTGACTTCTTTATTTTTGTTACTGTTCTTTTTTATAATTGAATAATTTGAATTAAATTGATTAAACAATTTTTTAATCAATTGAAATGATTAAACAATTTACCAAAAGTAAAAACATGAATAAATGGCTATATTAGAAATAATACTATTAAAAATAATAAAACTATAGAGACATTTCATAACTTTCTTTGATATTATCCTACATTGAACAGCAGTTTTTATAACCAATCCCACAAACTGTCAAATATCCATCAATATTTCTTAATATATTTACTTCTTAATTATTTTTATAAAATTATTTTAGGTGAAAAATAAAGTTATATCTATAACTTTATTGCTTAACAGTAAATCAGAAATTCTCAGTTTTAGTATAGAGATAAGTCATTTAGCAAACAAATGAATGTTTGTCATTTAAAATATGCAAATGTGTATATAAAATTTATTTAATTTCCATTGATGTGATTTTCCTACATATATAACTGTATGTAGCTTTGCATTCAAGGAAATTTTATCATACTAATTTTTCTTTGAAACATAGTGATCTCTGCCAAGATTCTTATATGAGAAACCAAAATGACAGTGCTTCAGGAAGATCCTAAGTTATTTTGGTCATTTCTAATACCAATTGCTATTGAATTATCTTTTTTACAATAATGTATTATTTATAACCAATTCTCTGATGCTAAAAACATAGATAATATATGAGATTTAACTCTTTGAAATTATATCTTGATTATTCCTCTGCAATCATTTTCTGCTTGGCAAATTTTTCCAACTAATTCATAGATATCACAGAAAGTATCTATTATTTTCATGTTTTCTACAAACTTTACAAATTTATTTTGCTCTTATATCCATCAGAAAGGTAGAAAGTCATTACAATGTTGTTGTACAGAAGTGAGTGTTTGCAGGTTTACATACTAATATAACATATTAAAGTTAGTTTGGAGAAAGTAACAGTGTCATTTCAAAAGAATATGAAGAAATAAGTTGTTATACATTTGAATTTTAAAATGTTCTTTATTCGGATATTCAGATATTGTGTACTTTGAAAATGACTTAAATAAAATTTAATCTTTCAGAAACAGTAAAATTTTTACCTATTATAGAATTTGGTTTCTCAATAAAAACAATGTTTTCAAATAAAATTTTGTTTCATTACTTCCAGATTTATGTTTGTTTATTTTTTAGACTATACTTGCTAAATGAATACAAAATTCATATTTTTCAAAATTATAGTATTTATTAATTATAGTAGCTTTTTCTTATTATTTTTCCATGATATGCTTTTAATTTATATAGAGTTAAAATAATATGAAGTTATAAAAATAGAACATAAAAACTTGAAAAAATATATACAATATTTTAATATAATCTTTGTTGCTTTTGTTTTTAACACTTATCCTGCTAGAAACATAATATTACATTTTGCAAATTCTTTGGTAAAAAGAAAAGGCAAACATAATATCACATTTTTAAATATATCAAGTTATTTCTAGCTTTAAAATGTAACATTACATTTTCAGGAATCAAAAAACAAATTTTGTGTTTTTGTGTATGTTAATTAACAGTCAGCACTATTTCTTCAGAAATTTGAAATAAAAGTTAGTTCTTAGAACCACATGCATCGTTCGATTCAGAATTTTGTCACTATATTCCTCAAGCAAATTTCTATTTTATTTTGTTTGTGAGTTAGGTTAAGATATGGTGCATAAATAAACTGAACAGGAATTGTTTGAATTTATTAATGAAGAAATTAACAAATATAGTGACAATTATATTGATTTATCTGGTGAAAGTGAAGTGATTTTGTTTTAGGCCTAACTGAAAATCAAAAAAGTACAAATAAGCCATGTAATTTCATTATTATTTTTAAACCTATATAGTTTTTATAATAGTATGTAATACTTTTTACATATTCTTAGTGCAAGAGTCAGATTCCTATATTTCTGACAGTGCTAATTCTATCTTATCCACATTTGCTGAACCAATGCAATTATGAAAAACAGCTAGTGTCAGAGCCTAGTCTACTAATGTTATTGATACAGTACTTCATTATTAAAAATAAATTCAGCAATGTACTATATATTTGTTAGTTAAAAAGAGAAATGTTAAGAGCTTTATTGCAATTTTTAATTTTTTTCATTTTATCTCTATCTCTAAAACATGTTCAAATAACATTAGAGCACAATACATAAAAATAAAGCCCACATACAGCAAAATTGAAGAATATATAGATAAATGTCCCTCAAATCAAAAACTGTTTTCACTTTTCATCTAGTTTTAGTCAATTGTTTATTATTCTCTGTTGAAAATACATAAAATTGTTTAAATCAGCCAGCATACAGCAAAGAAACTAGGTCAACAGAACCAGCAGGGTAAGTGCTAAAGGAAAATCATTGATAGACTTATAGATATTGTATTAATGAAATTATTAAATAGGAACTCAAAGAAACTTACTAAATTAAGTTTTAAACAATAATTTAGTAATATATTATGTGTGTGTTTAATTTTTGAGTATTTTCACCATTATTTATCATTTAAGGCATTTTCAAGTCAAGAATGTGGAATAGAAGAATCTTCAAACATATTAATAATTTGTTTTATAGATTATTATTTGTCTTTTCCAGATAAAATTATCCTGACAACAGAACAGTGTGTGTGTATAATTGAGCAATATTTTTAAAAATGATCTCAAATCATTTTTGTGAACAATGCCCAATAAGGATTCATCAAATAAATCAGCAATACAGCACTTGATACAGAAGTTTTGAAATACTAGTAGCAAAAGTCTGTATGTAATATAACTTAGATATAATGTTTCAGAAAAAAAGAGCAGTTTGTGCTTCAAGCATTTATATCTGACGTTTTTATATTCTAAAGCAGTGGCAGAACAACTTCACTTTGGATCATGATTCAAAATTGCAATGTGGTCCCCTTTTCCCTCCCAACCTACTCTTGCCACAAAGAATGGAACATCCATCTTCCAGAAAAGGCCTGTAGACCTTGACTGAGAAAAGGAGTTTGCGAGAGATTGATACAACTTCACATTTATTAATATGAATCTTTATATTACTACATTATTTTACAATTACATTATACTACAATATTTTACATTACTACAGGGTGTAGGAGTATTATTTTTAAAATTAAAGTGATAAATAAGTTTCTTAAAATATTCATATATAGAATTCTTGCAATCTTCAG